AAGCCAATGGCCTTGGAGCAGGGGCACAGCAGCCTCTGGGAAAAGCGCAGAAGGTGGTCTGTGACTCATTTTCTCCTGGCAGGTGGGCAGCAAAGGTTGTTTCCACTGCCTTTGGAGAAAAAAGGGAGGGCAGGCACTGAAAGCATGTGGCGAGTACTGATTGAGTGACCCACAGCCTCTGCCTTGCCAGAGCTTATCAGACCAAGAGGTGACTTACAGATATAAGGCGGGCAGAGGAGGGGCATGGCCTGTGAGGAGGGCATTAGGAAAAGTAAATTTCTTTCATACAAAGCCTTGCAAGAATATCTGCCCAAAGCCAAAGGAGTTAGGATATCCAGGCATGACGGAGCCCACAAGGCCGACCTCCCACTGGAGAAGGATAATATTGGAACTTTGACAACAAGAAAAAAATGGCAAAAAAGTCATGCCAATAAGGTGAACTCAATTCCTCTCTGCATTTTCAATTTTGATCAAATTGGAGTATACATGTTATCGTTTGTATTCAATAGGAAAGTATGATCACTTCCATCTGGGAAATCCAGTATGCTCTCTTCTCTACTTGGTTAAAAGAAACAAGGCAGATACACTGCAGAGAATTATCTCAGATTTAATTTCTTTTAAAAAGACAAAAAAAGAAAGAAAATTGTATACCAATCATTGCACACGGGAGGGGTTGCATGTCTCAACTGTCAGCTACTTCAGCATCACTGACATCCTACCCAGATGATTACAACTACAAGTCACATCTTTTGCATTTTAGGGATATATGAGGTCATTGTATATTACAAATGTCTGCTCTGGGATAAAACTGCAGAGTTAAAAATTGACCGATTAAAAAATCTTTACTCTATTTAACCCATCTTTAGCCATTACTTAATCTTATTTTACTCTATTGACCAACTGACAATTCTATCAGCAATTGATAACAGAAGAAGAAGTCTATCAAGGCTTAAAAGTAAATATTGAAATGCAATACAGCTTTAGAACAGCTGTATATAAAGGCCTAAAAATGGCCTTTTTCAATATGAGATACTGTCACTGACACAGAATCTAAAGCATTCATGAAAAAGTTTATCGTTTGTGGCACCACTAGTTGTTGTATTTTGTCTGCATAACCAGCAACAAACTTCTTCTTAAACCATGATATCAACAAAGGACATCACTGAATAACAATTGCTACTGAAGAGTCCACAAAGGCACAACATCAGGATTATGACAGTCTTATCTCCATATCACACCAGAAGTGAATTATTGATTTTCTGCCAGAGAGCATCATGGTCAAGAGAGATGCTAGTGAAAGAGCCATGCACGCCTAGGGGCATGAATGAGGAGCACATCAGGAGGGAAGAAAAAGAAATAACATGAGTCCAGTGAAGCAAAGGAGGTAAGCATTATGACAGAGGTTAAACCTGCATAGGAGGTTTAGTTTTTCTAAATTGGTTCAATATTATGAAATCTGCAGAAATGGAAAAAAAAGAATCATACCATCATTCAATGTGAATATGCAACTGTAAAAAACTAAGAATTAATAAAACAGAAAAGTACATTATCTGTCTATTCAGAGTTCAAATTCTTGTATGATTCATTGACACCAACTGTTTAGATTTCTCATCTTGTTAAACTAAACATGGAACCAGAGCCAAATAAAGTAAATGTCCTCAGACCTGAATCCGTCTGCCAAATTAGATAACAGTGTCATACTGGAGCACATGTCATGCTGACAGCCCCCACTCAGTCACTGTCACTGAATGAACTGCTGTGCCTCTAAGTCATATTACTGTCACTACGAAAAATGCCATTCTGCCAGCATAACTGACTGCTATTACGATTAAGAGATTTGCCAGGGAACAAGACTATCGCACAAAACTATATCTGCAAATCTATGAAATATGCAAAAATCAACAGACTCGTGTTGTTAACCACAGAGTCACAGTGGAAAGGCAAACAGTGTTATAAATAGGGCTGAAAAGATCATATCTGGCCACAACAGGTATCCATTTTGGGAATAAAATTCCTCATTTACAACACTGCAGTTAGAAAAATCAGGTTTTGTGTTGTAGTAATGTCATATGTTACTGGAGCGCCACCCATCATGACTCATAGAGGCTCTTCTTGATTACAACATAGGAATCTCATCATTGTCCAGTGTAATTACTTTGCTTATTTCATGCATGATTGTTCTGTAATTCATCAAAGAAAACATTACAAGAGCACAAAGAAGCAGTTTCCAGGCTAAATGTCTGCAGCAGACAGATCACTGACATTCTACAACATTCTACTGTAATCACAATCATCCAAGTGCTTTTAGAACTGTGAACAGAGGTTTCCTGGGACTCTGACATCTTAACATTTAGACAAAGAAACATCTGGAAGCTTTCTATTAGGCAGCATGAAGCAAAGAAAAATACAAAAGAATAGATGGCACAGGAAGACATGACACAAAGAACTTGTCACAAAGACAAAGGCTACGAACTGGAAACAAACCTGTAGGAAAAATATACAATCAAAACAAGTCATCCTGGTAAAATCCAAGAGAAAAGTGGAAAGATGTTTGAGCTTATTTGCTCATGAAGTGAAACCTACAGGGTTTGTCTGATCATTTGTACGTAGAGCTCCACGTCTCTATCAAAAAAGACCATTTCTTACATTTAGGGAGACCTTTTTTAAAAAAACAAAAAGAAAAAAAATGAACTCACGTGGTCTAGGATTGGTCAAAGAATCCAAATGAATGAAGAATTTTTACGCAGATCTGAAGTTTCAATTCACAAATTCACAACATGAGAGCATTTGCCAAAAATGATGGAAACAAAGGCAACTGACAAAGTCAAATCAACAATAGCTACAGGGGCAGCACAATCCCACGATGCACTACAACAGGTGGACAAATGTCAGAATGAATTGTTTGTTGGCCCTTCGAGGGAAAACATACATCTACTCATATTCTCTTCCGGTACTAACAGCAGTCATGCATCATGACCTGCTGTAATTATGTTTGTACAGAGCTGTTGTTCAAATACACATAAAAAACAGAAAAAATAAAGCCCCTAGTAAATAGTCACCTGGTAAAGAGCATTTAGCTATGGGCCAGGTCCTGCTGCAGCGTGGGCATAATTACAGGTAATTAGTAAGTACAGAGCTACTGGAGTTCATTATTTGCAAAGTGAAATGACAGTTCCCTTACATTGGAAAAGTGAGATCCACAAAGACACAATGACTGGAGATGAAGTTTACCAAGCATGAACTGAAAACTTTAGACAGATCAGCTGGTTACCTGATATCTTAAGATGCATGTTAACACAAAGGTCTGTGAGCACCTAAACATGACTGTACAAGCAGACTAACGCTCTACTAGGACATAAAGCAATGCAATGTGAAGACAGGTTTCATGGATGCACCATGGTCCTGCACTGCACTCCCTTAGTGGCAGGCCCAATTTCATCCACCTGCCTGTGCTCCTATTTTCAGAGTCTGATGGGAAGAAAATGTGTGTCATGTCTCACCCAGTTAAAAGATCATGAGGTCTGGGCAGCATAATGGCACTTTTGTATCAAATAACCACCATGAACAAATTGACTTCATTATAGTGTTGGACACAACATCTTTGTGGAGTCCTGCAGTCCTATTTTAAGAGAAAACTTTTTTCCCTCTACCAAAGCGAGTTCTGTGTAAAAAGAGAAACATCGAATGTAGCTGAAAGCTGTCGCACATCCTTCTAGCTGAAGTGTCCTGATCTCATGAACTCCAACCTCCCAGTTATGGTTGTCAAATTAATCATGATCTAAGAGGATCAGTAGAGAATAACAATTAAATAAATCGCACAATTCAGGCAAAGTCAATGTTGATGTTATCATGGATTCTCTCAGGTCGTCAAGCTGTAAATTGTAAATTGAATCAACGCATGAGCTCCAGGACTCGTCCACTGGAGGACAATTATGTTACAAGGAATCATGTAATCATTTTCACAGCAGGGTGCAATAACCAATGGGATTAATTTGTGGCTATACAAACACAGGGATACATGCATTTAGTTCCAGAGTGAAAATGCACCAGCGCCCCCAAGTGTACAGACTTAGATCCAATGTCATGTGTCTGCACAGTTTGAGACTAAATTTGTCCGATATACTCTTTAAGACACTGAAATTCTAACAATTTATGGCACAGCTATAAAACCATGCAATTTATCATTTGTCCAGACTGAAGAAGTTGTTGGGGTTTTTTTGCCTGTAAAGAAGGTCACCCTGATGTCACAAGCCAGTCAAAAAGATAGTTAGACCCGTTCCAGCTCAGATTACAGAGCCTTTTCTGGCTCAATACACTCACATCACTGAGCTAAAATATACCGTTATGTCTCCTCCTAATGCACCTTCATGCACGTTTCATCGTGTGTGTGTGCTCACAAACAAAAACCTGACGTTTTTTTTATTTTTTTTATTGCGTTAACCTTTTCTCTAACTGATATCGAGGACACACACAGGATGACTCATAGCTTAACATCATTGGATTGCTTTTGATTGTATCTCGATCCTGAGACAATAGGATCACGACAGCACGCTGGAGTATCTATCAAAGTGATCTGAGAAAACAGAGTACAAAAACAGTGAAGGGCATCTCTCTTCATGATGTTTTTTAGTTGAAAGGAAGAACCTCTTCTGTATGCTTTGTTTATGCATGAAAAGAATCTGTCTGCAGCTAACTAAAGTTATGACTAAAGTCAGTTATCTTTGATCTATGGCAGCAATTATGCATATGTATGATGAACTGAGATTAGATGTGACGGATGAGACCTAAACGTCTGCCAAATCTTTGACAGCTACAGTTACAGGTGGTGACTGATGCCAAACATCCACCCACACCATATGTTTGACAACCATGAATAACTGAATATAATTCAAGAAGACAATGGTTATAAGACAGTAATGAAAACATTTAAATGAGATGTTATCAGATCGAGACACTGAGAGGTCTTCCCTGCTAACAATGTGTAGAATGCAGAAGAGGCGTCAAATTCGGGAAACACTCACTGAGCTTGAGGTGAGGGAGGGGTCAGACTTCCCGAGATTCAGGGAACGCATTCGAACAAGATTAGAGGTTTCAGATGATGGCTGCAACAGGGTCTGAGGTTGCTGCAGGTTGGTGGGCAGCTGAAGGTACTTTCCTGCAAAACAATATAACATCAGATTAAACTATGTCTTTTAAACTTTTCTCTAAAAACATAAAATGACAAAGATGAATAGAAAATTTTTCGCACTACATTTTTTTAACAGTCACACAAAGAATAAAAGATTCTATCAAATTGACTTATTTCCTTTCAGTTTAAATAATAAAGTTAGTAACATATTGTGGCCTTCAAAAGGGAATCTGACTTCTGAAAAAACACAAAAAAGCTCCACATAAACCATCTGATCCATCAGCCCAATTATAATGATGTCATGCTGATTTGTATTTTATCTTGTTTTTTTTAGTTTCTATGAAATAACATTGATAAAATATTTATTTTCCCTTTAGTCTGAATTTCAAGGCAAAACTTGCACACATGCTATTTCTGTGAAGAAAGGATCTAAATGGCCTTTAAATCTTTGTAAACTTGTTACTAAACATCCCCACAATTGTAACGGCTGTTTTTAATGAGAATCCAATGCTCTACCATAATGAATTCATGGGCAAAGAGTACGGGTCAGAGGTTGCATCACAAACATAAGAAAATCTAGGCTTTTCGCTCTAATTAGGAGTGCTAAGCTGAAGCTTTTGGCCTTGTTCAGTTAGACAGGATGTCAAAGGTTTAAATCAGGCCAGAAGAGACACAAGCCCATTAAGAGATCAGCAACAACTGCAGCATTACATAAGCAGAGTGCTGGCACACTCTAATGAATAGATACCGTTAACAAATATTCCTTGCAAGATTGTTCTTTTCAAAACTGACAAGCCATTCGCTTTTATATTTTGCCACTGGGTGGCACTAAATGCTGCCTTTTCTCTTTGTTGAAATTCACCAGTGAAGACCCAGTATTAAAAACCATACAACACCTCAAGCTGAATAACCAGCTCAAAGTAAATTCAAATAGGTCCTCACTTTCATCTATCTGTATGCAGTGTTCTGTGGAAGATGCCACAGCTTTGTTGTGCAATTAATGTTTCAAAGATGACTGTGTACCCTGCACAGTGCCATAGAAATACACAGAAATGTGCATTCATGATTGCTAAGCATCTGTGATGTTTCATAGCTATGCAAATTATGAGGAGAACCCTGTGTGCGTTGGGGTATGGCCTGAGGAGAACTCTGGTTAGTCCAAAGTTGTTTTGTTCACCAGAAGAAAACAGTATTTCCTCATCTTGTTTATTTTTTAATCTTACTGATCTTCCAGCACATTTCTACCTGCTGATCCACATTATTCTCACTGTTTTATTATGCTTAACCCAGTAAAAGCAGGACTGAAGTGAAACCAAACAGGATGAGAAGGAAAAAGTCTGGTCTTTCCTCCCTTACCGACAAATGCTTTCCTCACAAGAGATCATCACATCCCGGCACAAAGGAAACTGTCACAAACCAGTCAACAGTTCTAGAAAAGGGCGTATCAGGATATATGGAGAGACGGGTGCATTTGTACTTACATTTTGCACAGGTTTGCTCACAGTTCTCCAATAATTTCAGTTTCAACCAAAACTCATTGAGATGAATTGTGGTTCAAATGAAATGTAATAGTTACTGTTAGATTGTTGGCCAACTGTAACCAGACCAATAGCACCACTGTTCCTCCATCTTGTCCCACTGACTTAAACAGTGCTGTCACTTACTTATCCCATTACAAAGAGAAAAGCCCTTTTCATTCCTCAGGGTTACAACACCATAAGGACTCTTGACCTCCATTAGGTCTATTAAAAGCTTGGGTAAGTATTTTCTTTGACTGCAACGGTCTTCGCAAAACAAAACCAACAACTATACAACATGGTTATGGTTCAGCATGTACTGTACATTTCCAGTTGCACTCAAATGGGCTAAGCAATCTACTCAAGCGCCACATTCCATCGGTCTGTACTAATGAATTCCAATTAGTTTACTACAACTAAATTCTAATTACTTCACATATTTTGGTCAGATAATGTGTGTTTTGGTTACACATTAGCAATCAATATTGAATATCAACACATTAAGAGTAGCTATAAAATCTATATTTTAAAACAAAGGCATCATATGATTTTTAAAAAACCTGTCACTCTACGCTCAATACAACATATGTGTAGTGAATTCAGTATCAAATACCACAGCATCTAAGCACGGGCATATGTAGCGAATAACTTGAATCACCTCTCATGCATGTAAACAGAAAAAAGAGCAGTGGTTCAATTACATGACGAAGTTAAGCCGAAATCATAGCTCTGCCTCAACTGATTGTCAATAGGTCAATAGCTGGATGGCTTCACAAATGGCTAAGAGGGAATTTAGGGGCATGCATATGAATAGATACCGACTACCCAATTCTTAGCTTGGGAGTGTTATATTTCCATGATTAATTGCTGTCCGTAAAATACAACATTTAAGGATGTCTAAATAGATATGGCCATAAAAAGTGTTAGCACCCTCAGTCCAGCAACGGGATCATCAACATAGTCAGCAGCCTCGATTAGAATAAACGGCTCACGCTCATATTGCTTTAACAGTGTAAGCAGAGCTGGCTGACCTTGGGTTTGTTTATCAACTTCATTTCTTAAGGTAGACTGGTTACTTAATGCATTTATTCCAAGCTGCACCCCTTTCATTAAATGAAAAGGTCAACATTTTGATCAGGGAAGTGAAGTCCTCCATTTAAACTTTACAGGGCATAAATACACTGTTGAAAGCTATAAAACAGACTCAGTGTGAGGTTTACTTGTCAGCTGGAGGGAGGCAAACAAGACAGACAAAAAGGAGCCATCAGTCTGTATTTATCTACAGATGAACATAAAGTCTTTTATTGCAACCGCGTTTGCAAATTGAATACATTTTCTCCATCAACTTTTTCCCCCTAAATGTATTTGTAAAATGTATTTGTATTTAATTAAAATGACTTTATAGTGACATTTGGTAACATCTAATATTTATGACTGCACTGGCAGCGACCAGTGTAGCTAGAGAAAATATATGACTTCTCTCCTGTGAATCCATTAAATTAAATTAGAATCTTTTGAAGTTCTAATTAGTTCTCTAAGACAGATCCCCTTTTCAAGCTGTGTTTGACCTCATTCAAACCAGTGAGAAAAGCAAAGAAAAGAAAAGTGATGAGACTGAAAATGTTTTCTTGAGATAATCCCTTGTATGCCGTACAGCCGGCCCATGCAATTAACAGCCATCAAGTCAAGAAAAGCCCTTTCAGCCTTTATGAAATAAGAAAGTGAAATGCAAGTCATCTGTTTGGGTATTTGGGTTTATGTACAAACCAAATTGTAAGGCGGTTTGTACTGAGGTCGGCTTTTAATCCGATAGTCTTACATACTACTATGTTTGTATACACGCAACACAACTAAACTCTAAAGCCTTCTTCAATTCATTTTTAATACAATGATCCCATCATTCAGTTAGACTCAAACATTTTAATTGGATTAAAGGGACTGCATTAGCCTGGTTTAAGTCATATTTCTCTGACACCAAGTAGTTTACATAAATAAAGAATATTCTCCCCACAGCAGTCACTAATGGAGTTCCTCTGGTTTCTGTGGTTGGACCAACTATTTTCACTTCCTTTATCAATTGGGTAACATTATGAGACGACATAGCACAAATGTCCACTGTTATGCTGATAATACTCATTATGCTAATTAAAACAGATCAAAGTAATCCATTTGTGAAGCTTCAAGCATGTCTTAAAGAAAAAAATAACTGGATGACTTAATTGCCTGCTTCTGCAATCAGACAAAAGTGAAGCTGTTGTCTTTGAACCAGAGCATCTTCAGCAGGATCTGTTTAGTTATATAGCAACTCTAGATGGTATATTTCTTTGCCTTTCTTACAGTGAGAACCAATTATGTCCTTTATTATATATTTACCCAAAAAGATAGTGAATGAACAATGAAATGAATAATGAAATCTTAGAAATGTCATTACTAGTAATAAGTAAACTTTAAAATAGCTCTCCTTCTTAAAAAGAAAGAATATGTCATACACGTATTCCACTTATTCATAAGTATATAGTACATGTCAATTAAACAAAAAAAAAAAAGATGACCCACATCTGGAAGATGGAGCCTAAAATGAAAAGGGCAAATACAAAGAGAAATCATTACCTGTGAGACCACCACCAAGGCTTCTTCTTCTAACATATTTTCCATCTTCACTGAGATGCCGCTTAAATTTGAGAGCAGGACTTAATCCATGTATCAGATCTGGATTACTGGACTTCCTGAGGGATGTGGGAGGTGGGGTGAGGATGTGGTCCAACTATGGATCAAAGAAAGGAAAGGTTAAGATTGACGGGAAGACGGTCACAAAACAATCACAAGACATTTTATTCAAAGAAAAGAAATAAAAAACACAATATAGGCAATGTAACATCAATTCTTATCGGGTCTTACCAAGTCTTCAGCTATAAAAATGAAGAATCATTCAGTCTACTGAAATGCGGCTAACGTCGCAAACCTATGAAGTCTGTTTCACATGAATGTCATAAAAGCCGAACGAAATTCCCATTCACACAGGTCACTTTCAAAAACCTCCACTTTAGAACCACATATGAAACTGACCCACACTAGAATTGAAAAAATTAGCCAATTCCATGTGACAGTTTAATCCTCGTCTCACTATTACTGAACTAGCTTTCCAATTTCTCAAACAAAATCTAATCAATAACAGATAGTTTAGAACAGAAAATATTTGCAACGCTGGCCCACGCTACTTGAACCTTACAAACAGAAAACTCTTTGTGAGAGATGTAAATAATGCAGGAGTCTAGCCATCTATAAATCCGGTGCATATTATATTATAGAACTCTCATATCACCACATTCTTGTACTCTCAACAGAGGATACCTTGCATAAAGCTCAGACAACATAACAAAGCCCAGTGGTGAGGAAGAGGCCCTCCCTGAGAATACAAAGATACACAGGGCTGAGAGCGGTCTGTGGAAGGAAATGCCCTCTGCTTCTCTGTGGGATGATTCATGATCCCAGTTCCATTTAAGACAGCTACAACTACCCCTTTGTAGAAGACCAGCACAGAACAAACAGTGTAAGCAAACGAAAATGATGCTATTAGTTCAGCTATTCTTATGTAATAAAGTAGCTTTTCTGTTCTAAGTGATAAAAGCAATAGATAGCACTTATCCATAGTCATGAGGCCATTGATTGCGTTCAGTTCCATTACATACACAAACAGATACTTGTAACGTTCAGATCTCATGACCTTAATATGCCAGAGCTCTACAACAGTGTTTCATTGTATAAATGAATTATCTGAATGGTTTCATTTTACTAGTCATTTCTACAACCCTCTGTCTGAACCTCTAACAGGATATGTATTACTTAACTAAATATTAACACACAGGAGTTTTATTTATAGAGCTCGGTCACACAGATTACACAGATAGTTTGAATGTACCCCTTATAGTCACATAACACAGTGTTGTTGCATAACCATATAAAATACTGAGAATACAACATAAAATGTTGAATACTAAAATGATGGATATAACTACTACCTTCATGTTTCAAATTTCAAGATTACAATAATTTCAGCTTTTATGAAAACTGATGAGGCTAGTGACCTTTTTAATACAGCAGGAAGCCCTAAACTGCAAGTGAATCATAACAATCCTAATTATGCAGAATTGACTGAAATCTTTCCTTTTCAGAAATAAAGGCAGCACTTGAAAAACATCAATCCTATCGAAAAGGTGCCTGAATTTTTGCTCATAACTGAAAAGCATGATGGTTCTAAATATTGTAACAGTGTTGTATTTGGCAATGGGAAATAACCCCAACCCAAAAATATCCAAGACATCTGAAAACTGGTGTCTTAGTGTCGTTAATAATCAAAGTATGAGCATTTCAAGATTATTCCTTTTTTTATTCTTATTGTACTTTAATATAGTTCCATAGAAACATGTAACAATTGACTTATTAATCTCTTTTCTGTCAGATGATGCACTATGGCAGAAGCCCTAGTCTAACAACAAAATGATTTTATTATATAACACCAATACTCCCTTTCCTCAACACTACAATGCAGCCAAAACAGGCCAAAGAAATCAAGAACGGACACACTAGCTCATATATAGTCAGTAAACACAACCGAGGCAGATATGAAGAGCTGTGTCAGATTTCTGCTACTGTCAACCGTAATGTAAAACTTCGGTGGCACTAACTATTTGTACCAAACTAAAACTGTGTCAGTAACTGAAAAAAATGCTTAAAAAAAAACTTTACACAGGAAGTGTCTGTAAACACTTTGTTTCTGCGTTTTACTTATGTGGATACAAAAAGATCTTTAAATTAAGTGTCATAATTTTTACCATCTTGAAACAGCTACATGTCACAGTTTGCGTGGGTATATAATTTACTTTAATAAAAATAATGTATAAGGCACTTTATACTTTGTGATAAAGTGTTATATATTAGTTTAGTTTTGTGTAGGTCTCCAGTCAGTAATGTGATAACTGAGCAAAGTTTGACCTTGTAAGCAGCTGGTGCAAAAGAGTACAGGTGTTTTAAAACTCAGACCAATCACAACTGACACCAGAAGGGACAGGCGGTTATGTAATCTTCAAGCATGCATGTAATAACCAAACGCAATAAGCAGCTTAGACTTATTTTGTGAGACAATAATTGGTATCTGGAAAGTCATCTTGAGGTACGCATGAACACCGCGGACCATGATGTAATATAGTGGATGATCTGACCAGTTGTGTGTATTATTTCTACAAAGGAGGAAGGAAGTTGGACTCGTTTCACAGAAGTCCTTTATTTCTCAATACCTTGAAGCTTCCGTTTGTTTACATCTGTGTTTTGACTGAAATGGGTCAGGTCCTTGTGCACCAGAAGCAATAAGGGCAAAGGAGTCAGTGCTCGTCTTCCATGATTGTTTCATAGATCGGCACATCAGATTGTCTAACAGCAACAGAAGACTTTTGACCTCATAAAAAGAAAGATAAATAAATAATCCACACTGAATTTTTCTATCACTGCTCAGGGTCAAAGTCTGACAACTAGACATGCAAGATCTTCAGATACAAAATTCTGTATACAGCAGCCTTCTTGTGGAGGAGAAGAAGGTGCATTAAAGTTTTTTCCCACCCACCAGGAGATAACATTACACATGTTCATGCAACTTGCTTAAAATTACAAGAAGAGAAACCTATTATGCAAGCAGAGGATTCTTAACTCGACACAGTGAGCCAACTTCAACCTTCATGCTCCTGATGTACAATTCAGAAATTTGAGCCAGTGAAAACTTTGGTGTGCTGCCAAAGAGTTCTGTTCTTTTTCTTATTTGCCTCAGCTTAGCTGTGAGACCATCAGCCAGTAAAGAAGCACCAGGAATCAGTAGAGCCATACTTCCCACTCCATGAACAGACACATTTGAGCTACTTGTAAAACAGCCTGACTTTTGACACTATATTCTTATTAAAAGATATTAGTAATATAAGCCTTGATCTAAAACATTTGTGTTGATTTAGGAGGGGGGCGTCTGCGGTCACATGCCTATCTGATTACACAGAAAGCCCTTCAGTCAGCCGGTCACAGCTCAGCAAAAAGCAGATCTGGCTCCAGCCGGTGCCCTTTCACCCACCATTCCTCTCCACCTGAAGCGGAGCCATGCCGGGCTCCTGAGAGCAGCACCAACGTTTGATCTGCCCCTCCTTCCTCTGTTCCACCCAGTGCTCCACAGTGGACAGTACCAACAACCTTTTGTTGGCAAAGCAGATGGCAAACACATTAAACAAAGAAGGTGGCTGTACAACACGCCAAGATAGATTGCCAACTGAAAAACGAGGCAATCCACACCTCTGTGGAGGATGAGGTCATTTTTCTGTGTATTTTATGCTTTTCCCGTCACACTACCTGCATTTATACAAAGAATAAAAGGGACACAAAAGCATGCTGCTTGTTGATGGAACACCAACAGTAACCTTGATTGAACTTGAGATTACAGTCTAGCATCATGATACCCCTCTTTCTTCTTATTAAGAAGACTTTGTCAAAGTCATCCTATGTTGGAGTTAAGACCAATATTAAGTTTTTATTTTGCGTCCTAGTTTGCTTTCAATGATCTTCTTTTACATTTGACCCACTCCAAATTGCTAAAGTATCTTTATGTAGCACTACCTTCATAAAACGTCAAACGTGAAATGGTTATTTAAAAACAAAAAGAAACAAGGGGAATGAACGGAAAAATGCAAACCAATAATGCTAATTATTTGTCTCGAGTCCCTGTGCAAACAGTGCTGCACAGATTTTCGGCACATTGAATAAGCCTGACGGTGCAGAAAACAGACCACGCATTCACGCCTGCCGCTGACCTTTACCAGCTCAGACTACAAAAGCTGAAGAATGGGAAAGACACCCGGCTACAGAGGAGAGATGCTTCTCCTCAACACAAATATACAGAGCTACAACCAGCTAAATGAAGCTGATGAACAGGGAGACAAAGCAGAAGGAGAGGAGTTGCATTTAGCTCCACAGACAAATTCACAGCTGTGCCTGAAAACGCAGGCCCCAAAGGCCGAGTCCAAAAGTCCAGGCAAAGGAATAAGAACCGTTATTCACACGTTTGCATGTGGCCCACGCCTCACCAGACCGCAAGCAAAGGTGTGAAAACAATACAGGCAAAAGCACATAAACATGAGCTGTGCCGTTTCTGCTGCTTTTGCTAGCAGCTTATTACAGATTTCAGTGCATCTGCTGCACTGATTATCATGTTTCTGCACTTCACCAGTCAGGGTGCTTCAGTAGTGATTTCCTTTTGCTCCGAATGACCTTTCAGACAACGGCCGAACGTCATATCAATTCCCTTTTGAAGGCTTTGTGATATAGTGTTATTTGTCATTTTTCTGAGATGGATGAAAGGAACCTTTTAATAGTTGGGACACATTGTTATTGAGTCCTTCATTGGTTGCTAAGACACAATAAGGGAACGTTTACAGTGAGACAGGAAGAGAAACCCCATACATCAAGAGCCATTACACCTCCTTCCACTCAGTGCTGTCCTTCGTTTCACTCATCGCTCACCCTGCCATTGTTTCTCATCATTTCCCTCTAAGAATAACACGCGCTGAGGAGACTAAAAAAGGGACCTACAAGAAATCCTTTAGCATAAAATGTAAGACTGCTCTCTAAATGAAGAGCCTATGCATTATTTTCCATTCAGTATGACTTAACTGGCATAGAAAAGATGAAAAACTGGTGCTTATATAATCTGCAATTAATTCATGACTGATTTATAGC